ATCCTACAAAACGGGATGCGCTTCTCTATTAACTCGGGTATAAGTACCAGAGTTTGGTATGATAACTGGCTACCAGTAACCCCACCCCGACCGGCGCTAGGACTTGTCCAAGACCTTAACCCGGACCTTTATGTGCATCATTTGATAGATCCTGACACGACAAGGTGGAGAGTGGACCGGCTGGAGCAGCTGATAGATCCGGAAGATATTCCGCATATAAAGAGTATCAAGCCTAGCAGAATATATAAACCGGACCATCTGGTATGGGCCTATACTAATTATGGGCGCTATTCTGTGAGAACGGGATATGAAGTAGCTCTGGACTTGAAGGAGGAAGGGAATACCCAACAGATAAATGAGCCAAGCTTTAATCCTCTAAAGAGTAAGATATGGTCAATTAAGACATCGAGGAAGCTGAAGCACTTCTTGTGGCAAGCCCTCTCCGGATTTTTAGCGACAAGTTCTCAGCTTGCAAATCGCCACTGCGGGACTGATAGACAATGCCAACGATGTGGAGCGGAGGAAGAAACAATAAAATATGTCCTGTTTGAATGTCCACCAGCTCTACAGACATGGGCCCTAAGCGATATCCCATCAATTCCGGGAATTTTCCCGTGCACATCTGTCTCGCAGAACTTAGCCTTTCTGCTTGGACGATTAAGAGAACAAAGGATCCCAGAGGGGTTTCTGGAGCTATTCCCATAGATTATCTGGTATATCTGGAAGGCAAGGAATGAGAAGGTTTTCAACGACAAAGAGATACTTCCCACAGAGACATTGGAGATTGTTTTACACGAAGCTGAATCCTGGAAAGTTGCTCAGGTAGTAGGAACAATGGAAGAAGCAAGTGTAGAGACAAACTCTCAGATAACCCACCCAGCGAATACCACCTCATCACCGGCCTACCCGCGATGCCAGGTAGACGCGTCGTGGGTACGAGGAGCAGACACGTACAGAGGCGGCTTTATCCTGGAATTAGGGGAAGGACAACGTTTATTCGGGCTTTGGGCACAAGATAGTAGGCAATCCCCTCTTCATGCAGAGTTTGAAGCTATCCTAGAAGCTATCCTAGAAGCTATGAAGGCAATCGCATACCTCTAAATTTGATCTATACACCTCGAGACTGACTGCTTACAACTGGTAAAGATGATTGAGGAGGAGGAAGAATGGCCAGCATTCGTTACGGAATTAGATGAGTTTTCCTTCTTAAAGGAATCGTTTCAACAAGTTACCATAAGCTTTATCCCTAGATTACGAAATGTCCGTGATGATTATCTCGCGAAGAGTGCTCAAGCACGAAGTTACTGTTTTCCATGTAAATTCGATCGCTTCAGAATGGCTAGCTCTTGAGCCCAGTTTTTTTGGAACTTAATTTAATACACGGTGAAGTTTAGACGAAAAAAACAAAAAAAAAAACATTTTAAGGAAACCCCATTAAAAACCATAATAGAATATTAAAAAGCTGTACAACCACGCGAAGAAATTTAAATCTCATGTTGATATTACTTGTAGCGGGTTCACATACGTGAATCATCCTTTTCGAAATACAAATTAGTAATATTAGCGTTAATTATAACAATCGGGTAAATGGGGAAAAAACAATCGGGAAGATTTGGTATTAAATATTATATAGTTAATCGATCAAGAGTCGTAACCATTTACATGATTATGACTTAAAGCACATGAATCCGACATTAAGATTTGATACATCTCACATGGTGATAGCGTCATCCACGTTTCCAAAAGTAAATTTGATTTATTTTTTACCTAATTAAAATCATTTTATTAGGCAAATCAACTGGTCTTTAAGAGCACTGCGAGTCTAGATAGATTTATTTACTACTTTAAAAAAAATTCTAAGAACATTTCTACATTTAAATGAATTGGTTGCTATACACTTGTACTACGAAATAAATGTGTGACCTTGTTGATATCATTCTATACACTAGAATGGTATAGTGTACTCATACGCCTATGTTCTCACACGTACGTATTAAAAGTCTGAATACAGTGTGGATTACGTAGCTCATTATAGTTCACATAAAAAGAATGTTTTTATAGATAATTTGTTGCAACGCCTTGTTTCAATCAATGCGTTGGTTAATTAGGATGCGTAATGCGATTTGCCTAATTTTTTAATAAATTGAATGTCATTTTAGTAAAAAGTTATTGCGCATTAACATAATAATTACTTGGAGGGGGACACATTTGCATTAATAAAAAATTAAATCCATTTTAAAAATGAGCTGCCGTCAAAGAAAAAATAAAAGGAAAAGGACCAAAGAAGCAAGTATCACGTCAGAGCAACCATATATGAAATTCTCTTTAAGATCGTCTATACTCTATTCATTCTATTCTATCGCACTTATTTAAAATTCAGATGATAATTGTATGACTCGCAATGCTATGATTAAGCCTATAACAATAGATTTGATTATATTTCCTTTAAAAGCTCTGTTTCTACGATTTGACCTAACTCATCAGAATAGTAGTAGCTCATAAATTTCCAGTTGACAAAACAAAAATCTAACGAAACAAGTAAAAAAGTTGAAATGTGTGCTGCGATAAAATCTTCTAAAGGTCATATCAGAACATGCAAATGGAATCTTAGGAAAACCCTTGACGACTAGAAATAGTTTTGAAGAAAGAAAAAGTAAAAAGTAAAGAGAATTGGTTAAGGTCGTTAAAACCGGCTATATGGCTGCTCTTGTTTAAAATTTAATATTGCATTTTACCAAGTTGCCCTTGCTCCTTTCATCACGCTAATGGTTATGAATATTTTTATACACGCAGCCAAATATTATGCGTAAAGAGTGGCTGTCTGATTTATATCTGACCAAGAAAAAAACACAGGAAATATATATTTTTTTTTTTGATAAATCGCGGAAAGCAATTTAAGTCCTACTATCCTTATTATATAACTAATAAGTTATAAACATCTGTAAATGTTTTTATTTAGGATATAAGCATATACACATGCACCGATGCACGATGACGGCATATATTGACACGTATATCAATTATCACTGACTTTTTATAACATTTTTTGACCAAATTTTTATAACTGTAAATTTGTTTTGTCAAAGTTTATTTAATTAGGTGTGTAAGTGCGATAATTCAGCGGACTAAAATATATATATATATATATATATATATATATACTTTTATGATTTTATTAGTTAATCAATTGCTAAATCCTTTTTCATTGCAGACTCAAGAAAATTTGAACTCAGGAAGTCAGGATGATTAAAAGAAAAAAATCATCTTTGTAGGAACATTCATATCTATGGTTCATAATACTGTCGGTTTTTTTTTTATCGGTATGCACATCTAATTTATATAAAAAAGATTGGTATTTGTTTAATATATGCACTAATATCCCAGCGTTGAGGATTTAGCTAAACGTGCCCTTTTTATATATAAAAAAAAATATATCTAACTATGCGATCTAACTACGCAACGACTAATGTCTCGATAAAATCGAAATACGATATAGTAGAAAACAAGATAACGTTTTTGTGATAATTACAAAAATACAGAATATATGCGATTTTATGTATTAAAATGTATTTATGTATGGGTTGAACATGTAATACATGTTTGCAATTTGCTAGGAAGGAAGATGCATCGATACGTGAATGATTAGTTGTTGTTACTCTAATCATTTGTAGATTTAATCATTCGACACTAATTGCAATAAACAATTGAAAGAGGATTCGTGTCAACTTTCTTCAGCTCATCTATCAATGCATACGTTAGCTTGAAACGGCGTCTGTCAAAGGTAAACCACATGCGGGGGTATCTCTGTTTTACATTTATTTATCTCTTGCTTATTAATTTATTTATTTATTTCTTGCAATAAACATATGTCCTGTTTATACTATTATTATAAAATGATTATCTCAGACATTGGAGAAGTAGCAAACGGACCGTCCATGATATTTTGTGGACCCATGTTTCGAGCTGAAATTACGGAAACTTGGCCGTCGATTTCTGCCGTTGAACTTCTTCACCTTACTAAATTTAATGTGCATTTATTTTCTCGATGCACAAAGTAAAATGTGATCTCATGATCTATTCGATAATCTAACTAACCCTAATAAATAAGTACTTCTTTTTTTGGGGTTAAAATCCTAATAAATTCATCCGCAGAAACACCGAAGAAGGTCCGCAGAAGTTAGATACTCTTCATCACCAAACATATGTAATTTTTTTTTTGTCATGAAGTAATTTAATTTATGTACTTCAGCGACATTTTTTCACATAAACCAGACACGACTGCATCGATCGTACATAATTTTTAATCATTTTAAAAATTAGGATTGTTACACATCGAAACATAGATTGAGATAAACGAACGACAAAGCTATACGTTTCGTGATCCATCGAACTCAAAGCAGACCACTGTGACCCACTTGGAATTCAACTTGAATTTTCTCTGTCTTTATGTTATTTTTCTTGCTTTTCTTTTCTTTCGTTTTATTAGTCACTAATCAGTTTCATACCCAGTTATAAACCGTAACTATGTACATCAAGCATACAAAAATACAAATTCAAGACTGCCTTTTTTTTTACTATTTTCTATTCCTTAATTGCTTATTAATAGATTAAACATAGGGAAAATTGTTTCTGTGTGTGTTTGAAGGCTCCTGAAAAGAAAAAAAACACACGACCCGTCTTGTAAGTTGTAGCTCACATGTTTCTTTGCCTCTTTGCTTTTTCATGCCATTAAATATTAACACTTCAGCGGTTTTTGGTCCCAACAATGAGATTTTTTTTTACTATACATACTCCGTTCATTAATATTACATTTAATAAGCCCAATTTTTATCTATATATATTTTAAAAATGAAAAAAAAAATCACATTTCCGAGTCTTGGCCTTGTTTTAGTTTATAAAAGAAAAGAAAAAATTGAATTGAAAAGGAGTGCATGGTAGTTGCATAACCAGTGGCAAAAACGTAAATTTCCACTCACTAAGTTTTTCTATAAATTGAACCACTCGCCTCCTCTGCATTTTCCAATTCTAAACCAAACAACAGATTCTCATAATCATCTCTCTTTTTTTCCTTTTTGAGAAAGGAAGAACGATCAAAGCTTCTAAGTAATCATTTCTTCTCTCTCTCACACACACACACATGATTAGTTTTAGCTCCTTTCATCTTTTTTTTTTAAATGTGCTAAAAACTGATCAATCTTACTACTAATGTGCAGATTTTTTAAAAAAAGATATCAAGATGGGTCTTGTCGCCTTCTTGTTTATGGCCATCCTCGGAGTAATGACGTCACGTGTCAATGGCTACGGCGGCGGTTGGGTTAACGCACACGCTACATTCTACGGCGGTGGTGATGCTTCCGGCACAATGGGTAAATTTCCTTCTCTCACCAAATTATATAATCATCAAAGCTTTAATTTTTTTTAGCACATTTTTTATCACAAATTCTCAAAATCTATTTTTTTTTGTGTTTTCAGGAGGTGCTTGTGGGTACGGAAACCTATATAGCCAAGGTTATGGAACCAACACGGCGGCGCTAAGCACGGCTCTGTTCAACAACGGTCTGAGTTGTGGCGCTTGCTTCGAGATAAGATGCCAAAACGACGGAAAATGGTGTCTCCCTGGCTCGATCGTCGTCACAGCGACTAACTTTTGCCCGCCGAACAACGCTTTACCGAACAACGCAGGAGGTTGGTGTAACCCTCCTCAGCAGCATTTCGATCTCTCTCAGCCCGTCTTTCAACGTATCGCTCAATACAGAGCCGGCATTGTCCCCGTCGCCTACAGAAGGTAAATCTTCCCCCCCCCCCCCCCCCCCCAAACAGAGCTACTCTGTGTTTACTCCGAAACAGAGCTGCTCTGTTTTAGAGGCCACTAAAAGGAAACAGAGCTGCTCTGTTTTTACCAAAACAGAGTATTTGATTAGAATCTTCTGACTTTTGTTTGCAGAGTGCCTTGTGTTAGAAGGGGAGGAATAAGGTTTACGATAAACGGACATTCTTACTTCAACCTGGTTCTGATTACCAACGTCGGAGGAGCCGGAGATGTTCACTCGGCGGCGGTTAAAGGGTCAAGAACAGGGTGGCAAGCTATGTCGAGAAACTGGGGACAAAACTGGCAGAGTAACTCTTACCTGAACGGTCAATCTCTGTCTTTCAAAGTCACAACAAGCGATGGTCGGACCATTGTCTCCAACAACGTCGCTTCTGCAGGCTGGTCCTTTGGCCAGACTTTCACCGGCGCGCAGATACGTTAGTGTGGTGTATCGGGCAGTTTGGTAAATCTCATCTCATTTGACTTAAAAGTGATAAACAAGAAGTGTGTGGTTCGTGACTTCGTGTGGTGTATGTTAGTAAGTAGAAAGCTTAGAGAGGGGCATATTAGTAATTTGATCCTTTCTTTTCAGTTTGGGGGTTTAACCTAAAAAGAAGTGGTGCTTCGTGTGCTTGATTTTGCACAAGGCCTTGATGACGTCTTCTTCTTTTGGGGACTTTTTTTTTTCTATTATTGGTAAGGTTTTTTTTTTAAAGTTTTACTGATGCAGAGGTGGAGTTAAGTACCACCCGCTAGTAGTAAGTTTCCGTTTGTATCCCCTCTTGAAGCGAGAGGGAGAGAGTTTAAGCTTTTCAAGAATTGTTAGTTTGTATTCTTCTGAGTAATCTCGTCAAGAATTGTTAGTTTGTATTCTTCTGAGTAAATTTTCAATTTTTACCAGTATGAACTATTGAAGATTTCACTCAATGTTCAATAAAAAAAAAAAAAAAAAAACAATATTGAAGATTTGCGTTGTTCTACTTTGTGAGACTTATATCGCCATATAGAGTCAAAAAGGGACATATATTTGTTTATTTTCTTCACGTCCGGCGTATATTAATAATGTATTGGACATATTATAATTCACATGAATTGCATGGAAAAACCATAGTTCTAACTATCTTTTGATTTGTTTTTTTTTTCTTTTTGAACAAATATTTATTCATTTTTTAAGAAATTAATTTTGTTAATAGTTATTTTCGATTGTAGTCTTCTTTTTGAATAAAAAATATTTATATGACGATCGAGCGAGGTTTACTCATTGATTGTCAAAACTAACTCAACCTATCAAGTACAATAGCTCCCAACAGTTTTTAATATACTTGTATAGTTGTATTGCATTTGCATGTGGAGGGATGTGGTCATTTGATGCTCTTAACTATATATATGCAGCTGAAATTAATTCTAAATAACGACTTAATTAATTCTTATCACTAAATGTATCTCATAAGAAAACATCTAGCCGAATAAAATATAAAATACTTATTTTTGTTTGTTTACATTATGATATTCTAATTTTTTACACACACACTATTAAAAGATATAAGCCATGTGTTAACGTAGTTGTCTCTTTCATTAATTTGCAAACGTAACAGAAATTACGAGTGGGAGAATCCATGAAAGAACAACGAAGCTATAATCAAAGCAGAGGTTAGTTATCGAAATGATATATTAATATAAAATTTTGTTCAAAAAAAAATATGATATATTAATATCGATACACATAGTTTGTAGACAAAAGAAACTAAGCATTTTGGGGGAAGAAAACACCCAACTGATTTTTTAATATATAAATCAGAAAAAAAGAAAAGTAGTTTTCAAATAATTATGACTTAATTGGAATGCGAATCGCACGTCGTGACAACAAAAAGAAAAAAAAAGAAGAATTTAGAATTGAGGTGCACGTAGTAACAGTCACGAGTGATACAGAACAACCGAAGCCATGTGGTGTTCTGACATTTATTTTTGGTTCTAATAACTACCCATATGAGTCCTATGGGTCCCTATCATTCGTATTGCTAACTAACAATATATTTAACTCCGTCCTTATTTTAATTTCTGGGCCTTATGAAGCCCATTACAATCTTTCTTTCATTCTGGTCAACTCTTGGAACTATGCTTTACTTAACAAAAGCAGGGGAGATGTCACCATCATTCGGCCCTTATCAACTTTTTTACTATATATAAATTGTGATTAAATGCGGGCAAATATTAAACTAATTTTGTATTTACATTTATTTGTTTTACAAAAGAAACATATACTACACTAGATTTTAAATAATTAACAAAAAGGCCAATTTTTTTGGTTTAGCGTGGATTTTATATTTATATTTTTTTTTTGGGGGGGGGGGGGGGGGGGGGGGGGGGGGGGGGGGGGGGGGGGGGGGGGGGGGGGGGGGGGTCCAACTATAAATGTTTTTTTGAAGACAAGATAATAATAAGATGCTAAATTCGAAGCCCAAAAGGAAAGAGGCCCAGTCGTAGATGAAGTCCAATCTCAAGAGTATACGTTATTTTTGCAACTATTATAAATGTTTTTATTAAGTCTTTAACGAAAAAGGGTTTATTGAGTATTTACGTTATTTTTGATATTTTTTCTGCCCAAAATATTAATTAGGCCTACGAAAACCCTAAACGGCTAGCTTCACATAAATAAGGAGCCTGCTTCATATATTTAAGGACCTGCTTCACAAATTTAGTGTTTTCGTAGCCGCGAAAAACTTAGCTATCTGATCTTGCTTGCTGCAAAAGTCTCTTTGCTGTGAATCTTCTCCTCCATCGACAAACATGGGGTACGTTTCTCCTTTGATCCTTCATCTTCTGTCTCTGTTCGTTCCTTCATCAATTTGATTTTCTTGTTGTTCAGTTAAATTACGAGGGAATTAATTAAGTGTGCTTTTGTTTTTGAAAAATGGTTTTATGATTCGATTTTTGTTATTGTGATTTCTGATTATCATTGAGTTCTATAGGTTATACTTCTTGTTGTCGTGATTTGAGGAGTTAATACAAGCGATAATATCTACTTTGATAGAACTCCTGTGATAGATAACTGGACATTTTGAGTGTGTGCATGCTGCATATACATGAAAGCATATGATAGGCTCTTACTCATGATGAATTTGAGATCAATCTTTTATCTTTTTGTGAATACTTATATGATGGCTTCTACTTTCGTTTATTAAGTGAAGTTCCCGTCTTTAGTTTGTTTGTTTGTTTTTTCAATCTAATGTTGTATCTGGTGATGATTTGTTACAGTAAGACCAGGGGTATGAATGCTGGGCGCATCCTGAAAAAGCATAGGACCCAACAGAGATGGGCAAGCAAGACGTTCAAGAAGTCTCACCAAGGAAATGAATGGAAGAAGCCTCTTGAGATGGCTTCTCATGCAAGAGGAATCGTGCTTGAGAAAATGTAAGTCTATAAAAGAAAACATATACATGTGCTTCTTTAACTTGGTTTTTTTTTTTATAAACCGTAGACATAATTGGTGTTGATGAGTCTCTTTGTTTGATTATTCAGAGGTATTGAGGCTAAGCAGCCTAACTCTGCTATCCGTAAGTGTGCTAGAGTACAGCTTGTTAAGAATGGAAAGAAGATTGCTGCTTTTATCCCTAACGATGGTTGTTTAAACTTTGTTGAGGAAAATGTAAGTTGAATCATATATATATAAAGCCTTTGTAACCTATATTACTAAAACATGAATAAGTTTCTGTGAAATGTCTGAATCATCTTTTGTTTATGTTGTTGCAGGACGAGGTCTTGATTGCTGGTCTTGGCCGTAAGGGTCATGCTGTGGGAGATATTCCCGGAGTTAGGTTCAAGGTCGTGAATGTTGCTGGTGTTTCGCTCAATTCTCTCTTCTCCGAAAAGAAGGAGAAGCCAAGGTCTTAAACAAAAAGCTTTAAGCTTTTGAAGTTGATTTGATGTCATGAGCACTTTTTGGTATTCTGGTGTTCTCTTCTACTTTAAGCTTTTGAAGTTGATTTTGATGCCATGAGCACTTTTTGGTATTTCAGTTTAAAACAACTCTGGTGTTCTCGTCTACTTTAAACAACTCTTGCAATAATGATATGTTATTTGTTTTTTAATCTTGCATCGGTTCGAAAGACTAGAAATTCTGTTTGTTGGGATATAAGAGTGTGTGTATTTGTTGGAAAACACATGCATTATCGAGAAATTTTAATAGAAACTTATCTTCTCTTCTCTGTAAAATTGGTTCTTCGTTGCCTTAGATTCTCTGCAGGTGAAGTCGGTATTTGTTGTTTAAGAAACATCAAATTCCTCTATCAGTGACACTGCTTGTAGGTCTGTTTTGTTCCCAGGTTTGCTTCGTGGAGAAAGAGACAATAGGAGAGTATTGAATGCACCAAGAACAAGTTTCACCTCTCAGTTTTATGGATTTGAGAACTTAATGCAAGGGATTATTTGAGTTTCTGTATGCTACATTTACTAAAGCGCAAGTTTATCTATCCTACGATCTGTAAACCTGAATTTCTTATTTTGTGTGTGGGATTTATGACAGCTCTTGAGGTAAGGTTTTTTTCTTCTTGTGAATACTTGTATGAATTGGTTCTACTTTCGTTTATCGAGTGACGTTCTGGTCTTTTTTTTTTGGTTTTTTAATCTAATGTTGTGTCTGGTGATCAGATGTTTCAGTAAGAAGTTGCTTGGGGGGGTTCTGTTAATATAAATAACCGTTAAAATTTAGTTACATGCAATAGTATCAACTATCAAGGTAGGTAATGAAAATACAGACAAAGTAAAAAAAAAAACTTTCATTATGCATTTTGGAGAATCTCGTGAGTTACAAGCAACTTAGTATGGTATCATATATTTTTAGTATTTTTTTTGTCCCTGTAACTTATCAATCCTTAGCTTCTTCCGCATATTCTCTTACTGCTCAATCAAGGCCCGTTTTCGGATCAACGCTTTAATATTTTGCGGAAGCTCATTTATAAGTTTGGCTGCTGCATGTTTAGATAAGTCAGAAACAGTCAGCAAAACACAAGATCTGCATATAACAGAACTGTGAAGCAAATGAATGATGAGCAAAATCGTTTGTTTTACTTACCCGTGAAAACAGAGGATCATCAAAGACGGTAACAGGATAAGGCAACGTCTCAGACGAAGCCCAGTTTCCTCCAAATTGAGGCCTATAAGATGCTTCCAAGATCTGGCTAACGTAGTAATCCGCAGGACTTCCTAATAGATTCCACTCAGCTAGTTGTTGAAGCTTTGGATCATTCAGGAAACTGAGATTGCTGTATTGTTGTATGTTTGGATCAACCGATGTCACGGGAACGCCGCAGGGTTCTAGCTTTGGTGTTGTTGTATCTGAGATTTTACCAAACAGCCCTGAGTAACTTTCAAGAGATGAACTTGCGGAGCACGTTAGGTCATTGTACGTATGATGAAACTGCAGGTTTGTGTCTTCTTGTTTTACAGGAACATTCATGTTTTCATCGGTACGAACCCATGAGAAATTCTCAAGCTGTTGCTCCATATCCATTCCGAAATCTATATCTATTTCATTCTGAAACTGCATAAACACTTTGTTATACACACATACATCCAAACATCTCTAATGACCAAAACTAATGCTTCTTTACCTGGATTTTGCAGTCTGAGGACATAAGTTGCTCCTGCTGATGTTGTAACATGTTCACCTGTAATAAGATGCATAAGTTTTGTAAAATGAAACCATAACTAATCATTTGAGAGATATGGTTTATTACCTTATGAGCACGGATTTGAAACAAAGACTGTCTTACTGAACTTTCTAGTTGCTGCAAATCATCTAAGCTGTTAATCTTCTCTATCTCGGTCCAGTAGCTATCTCGAGAAACAATGTAACTCACAAATTAAAATAAGCAAAAACAAAATAAACCTTTTAACTGAAAGTACATATATAGAAGATCTTGGCACCTTAGTCTTGTGTGTATTTCTGATAAATGTGTTTGCAGAAACCTGACTTTTTCGCTTAGAACCTGAAAGTTTCCGGTTGCGAAAGACAATGGAGTTAGGAGAGACATTTCATCATCAGTAACATCATAGTAGTTAGTTGTACATACCTCAATTGTTGGTTTACTGAAAAGATAACAAAACAAAAAGGTCACATTAGTAATAATACTCACCAGCACTAAACAAGAACAAACAGAGAACACAAAACGAAGCTCAGATTCTTGATATATGTGTAATAACACACACCTTTTGTCTAGAAACTCTGCTATATTTACATCATGATCAAGCTTCGTAAATGTTTTCTTCAAGGCCTGAGATATTGTGAGAAGAAAAATAGTGTTAGTGATAGTTTATGAAATGAGCAGAGAAAGAGACTAAACAGAGCCAAGCAAAAACTACTTACTTCAAGATTTTCCAACTTCCTGTTCAAATGAAGACAAGCAAAAGACAAATAGTTACGTTCAGTGTAACATCTACGCAGAAAGATTCAATGAAATGTATGTTTTTATAGAGTTAATGGAAGTAACCTCTTTGCCCTTTCTTGAGGAGTAAGTTGAGCAAACTTAGCAATAACTTCTCCAATACTAAACAAAAAAACAGAACATCAAACAAAAGACATGAACGATGTTTTAAACAGCCTTTGGTACTTAAAAAAGAATCAACAGACCTGTGTTTTCCGTTGCACAGTGAAGCTTTTCCCACGGGAGAGAACATGAGAAGCACAACATCAATGTCACATAAGATCGATAACTCTTTTGCCTTTTTTATGATCCCATTTTTCCTTTTGGCATACGTAGCTTGACGTGCATGGAGGTTCTCTAGTTTCTTGATCTTTAGCTTCACTCGACCCATCCTGCATAACTTTGCACTAATTAATCTTATCTTACATTGATTCAAGATTCAAATGCAAATTAAAGAACAGCCTTGTGAAAATCGAGAAACTCGAATTTAAAAAAACTCATACGAACAAAGAGAAGATAACCCATTTTGAAAACCAAGAGTCAAACAAGAATCAATGAAATAGCAAACACTATTCACTTCAAAGATTCATACTTTCGTCAATTAAAAATGGGTATTTTACCAAGTTTAGGAGAACCCATAAGAAGAAAGATTGAAATTGAAAATAAAAAGGGAAACCTAATCAAATGTAAGAATAACCCAAAACAGGAAGAGAAAGCTCACCTAATTTAAGACAAAACAAAACTTTCCTTGAAATCGATTCTGAACCTAAAAAGGAAAAATAGAGAGAGAGAGATAAAGGGCAAAAAAGAAACAGAGCTTAGAGACGAAGAATGATCGTGAAGGAGAGAGAAGAAATAGGTTGTGATTGGGAGGACCGGTGTGACCGCCAAAAACGGAAATTAGGGTTTGAATCGAAGCTAGAGAATAGGAGAAATGGGATCGTCCCATTCATTAGTTTTTTCTCTTTTACTTCACAGAACAGAAACAACGACTTACCCGCTTGTTTTATTGGACCACTCATTTGGGCTAACCACCAAAATAACCGGTAACCAATAGCTACTAACCAAATAATACCGACGTGTCGATTTCTTCAGGTTTCAGTTTTCAGAATGTGGCTGGAGGTCAAGATGGTGTCGTAACGGCTAAGTAACCACGGTCCGTCCACACGTGTTAGTAACCAAGACCTTGTTTCTCTATAATATATCTATATATTATGAAATATTTTATATTTTCATTATTCCAGATATTTTGTCAAAAAATCCAAGGAGATGAAATGCAAAACACAAATTATTTTGGGTTGACATATGCGTGATATGTTTTAACGTAAGATTTTTTTCTTATATATATATATATATATATTGATATGTTTTAGGTAAATTTATATGGATGCGATATTTTAGAAAATAATCAACTTTTTATATATTTATAACCTCTCTATTAAAGCAAGCTATTGTAAACGACCAACGAGTAGGAGTCGACGAGAATGTAATGGTGTTAGAATATGGGGATCCCATGATCAACAGAAAAGTTTTTTTTTTATCAATTGATTATTTACTTCTTAGAAGAAAATATAATAAAAATGTTGTTGATAAAAAAACTCAGCATATAGAACTGAAGCTATGCTTCATATAGACTGGATTAATCCGAAAATCAAGAACTGCCCTTTTGCATGGAGTCTCATCTGCAATATACAGCTTTCCTGAAACCCAATATAAGTATATAACTTGGTGATAGGATCAATGATAAATCTAGGCCCATAAGGATTAGATTCCTACTGTGACAAGGATTAGTTCCTGGATACTTTATAGGAGTTTCATACTTTCATTTCTCATATATATTTGAGAGACATACTGGTTATAACTTTCATGTCATTGGTTTTGTTGACTGTAAGAACAGATTGTATTCTTCGTGAGTTGTTCCAACCTTTATTTTATGTTTATCTCACATGCATGTCGTCGTCAATCGTCATCTCCACTTCCTTTCAGTTTCTTCTATTTAATTCTCATGTTCATTTATTCGATCCTCACTCCTCACAATTGTTTTCCTCTTTTAATATCCTAAATCCAATATCAAAGTCAGTTGCATTGTATCTAAACTTTTATACAAACAAAAAAGTGTTCGGAATTGTTTGATGAAGAAAATAAGTCAATCTAGTCACTGTTTAAAAATCTCTAAAACAAAATCTTCTAACATTTTATAAAATTTCATAATCTCTCACAATTACTTTAGGTTTCGGTTTGGAATCGATCTTTTGCATGTATATAAAGAGGATAAATTATTGTAAAACAATAATAGAGTCGAACCAAGTGAAATTTCACTATTATATAGGTGAGGCTTTATGCCTATCATGGACCCAAAGCAAGCCTACTAAACTAGCTACTATTAGATATGTCACTATGTGCTCCGAAATGGTCGATATAATTGAGCAATATTGTGCGAGTGTAAGTGGCTATAGTAAAATGAGAAGCATGCACGTGCTGTTTGTGCGACATCGTACGCCAAAATCGGGTCGTGGGGTCGAATATGTGAACCACAGTAAACTTGAAAAATCTTTCCACGTTGATATGAATTGGATCCTATGCATCTTAATTTCTGAATTCTGTTTCCTTTCCCAACATTCTCTGTTCATCATTTAAAACTGAAATTCAATTCTATCCCCTACAATAATTGAAACTTCACCAAAAACCCAATGTCTAGTTAATTCAACAAATAAAATATTAAAAAATACAAATGACTTGAAAAACAAAAGTTAAAAAAGAAAGAAAGAGAGAAGGTGCAATTGCGTGTCTGACTCTGATATTCCTCACACTGCTAAAGTTCTAATGATTCATGTCAGTGAGTGGTTAATTAGTCTCTTTGAACAAAAAAAAAAGTAATGGTACATACATACTAACATCTGTTTATGATACGAATTTGATGTAATATTCAAAGTTACTGACCAAGATGAATAAAGAGAGAGAGCGTAGAAAGTGTTCAGTAAAATATCTGCAGATGGACCGTACCAGTCTGCAACCATCCTGAATCTGATGTATTATATGATATCCCAATATTTATTGTATTCCTCTGCCAATGGAACTTTATGGTCAAATAAGAAAATACATCTACTTTACGTTTAAAGGTCTCACCTATCTTTTATATATTTTCATTTGACTCTATTCACTTTACAATCATGGGCTAATATGAAGTCTCTATGCATTTACCAAAGTAATTGCAAAATTAATCGATTTTAAAAGGTGAGATATAAATTGCATTATGGTGTGATGAATATACATATTGGGAAGGTGTGGGGTTAATGAAAGGATATGTGAAGTGTGTTTTGAGAAAAATGGTTGTGCTTAGAAGAGACACAATACATAAGAGTCCAATCAAATGTGATTTTTGAGCCTTTTTAGGCAGTTAGTTAGGACTACTTCAATTGTTTAGTTTCATCCTTGATATGTTTGTTTTTGGTGAAAAGCCATGGAAACAAATCAAATGTATCTTGTTATATACTCAATGGCATTAAAGTGAATTTTGGAAAAACAAAAAAGGTGAAAGAAAACAAAGATCCATAGAAGCCGGGGAAAAAAGTGGAGAAACCATAAAGAGAAGGAGCTTATGAACGTGTCTGTTTCTTCCTCCTCACACGTGAGATCAAACTAATCGTTTTACTTTGCATTAACCACAGATCAAATCATGGTTCATACAGTTAAACACGTTGGTTTACACAAATTAAACCAACATTTTTGTCCGGCAAGCAAGCAATCATAGTAGTAACAACATTGATGTTTTGTTTGGGACAACAAGAAAAGAAAAAAAGCAGTTGAGCTTAAAAAGAAGTTTACGGATGTTTAACAACTTTTCATATCTCTTTCACTTTTTCAAAACACATGTCACTGCTCACAACGTAGGAAACGTGTTCCCTGCCTTTCACCCTTTCTCTCTCTCTCTCTCTCTCTCTCTCTCTCTCCTACCATGTTTTATGGATATAATATATTTATTTCATCTCTATACGGTTTCACATTTATGGCTTCTTCATTTCTCTGACCAAATTTTCAACGATCGATAATTATTGTGACGACGTTTATCACATTTTGAGTGTAGATGTTGATTATAATAACGTTTGCTTATAACTTAAACCAGAGATCATAATACACTAATTTAAATTATATATACATCAAGAACGTAGAACTGAGAAGTAATAAAGTTATTCGTAATGCGTAAATAGAGATACGCATCAGCTTTCAAATCAGTCCGTGACAGTCCATAAACCTTTTAACAGTTGTATAACAGCATTTTGTCAGAAAACAAGGTCACGACATATACATACACGCACATAGCTTAGAGCCATACGTAATAAATATCACACAAATATCAATTATGATATACAATTCCTATTTAATATCGTCACATCTTCTCCTCCAATGGGGATGGAGATGGTGTATGCTGACGTGGCGTCTCTCTCCATTACACTTCTCTTCCCGTCTTCATCTCTCTAGTCTCTCCATTACACTTCTCTTCCCAACAACAACATTGTAACATGTCGGAAGATCATCGCCGTTGGATGGATCAGAACGCTTCATGGGACTACTTCTCTTTCAACATCAACAACGGTCAACATCTTCATCACTACGACACAAGTCATAGAGAAGAAGAGATTAGAAACCCTAATCAAAGTGACTACCGTCATTACCACAAGAAAGACACGACCGACTGTGGAAGTTGTGGACACTCGTCAAAAGCTTCGGTGGCGAGAGGACATTGGAGACCAGCTGAAGATGCTAAGCTCAAAGAACTAGTCTCTGTCTATGGCCCACAAAACTGGAACCTCATCGCTGAAAAGCTCCAAGGAAGATCCGGTAAGTAAAAACTTTGGCTTAATTAAGCTTTTTCAAAATTCAGGGTTCTTGAATCTTGATATTTTGGGTGTTAATGTTGAGTCAGGGAAAAGTTGTAGGCTTCGATGGTTTAACCAACTAGACCCGAGGATAAACAGAAGAGCCTTCACAGAGGAAGAAGAAGAGAGGCTAATGCAAGCTCATAGGCTTTATGGTAACAAATGGGCGATGATAGCAAGGTTTTTCCCTGGAAGGACTGATAATTCTGTGAAGAACCATTGGCATGTCATAATGGCTCGCAAGTTTAGAGAACAATCTTCTGTTTACCGCAGAAGGAAGACGATGGTTCCTCTTAACCCACCCCTTAACCGAAATCTTCACGGTTTCAACGTGTTTGACCCTACTAGGTTAGCTTTGACCCACCTTGTTTGTAATGATCAGAACCAGCTTATGTTGCCAGTTCCTTGCTTCTCAGGTTTGAGACTATCCTCTATTTCCTTAATTTGGTTTGGTTTTTACAATCTCTTACTCTAAAAAGCGTTTTGTCTATATTCCTCTTGTTGTGTAACCTTTAGGTGCTAATCATGGAAATGAGAGTCCATTGATGTTGGGGATGTTCGAGGGCGAAATGATGATCGGTGATTACATTGCAAGGACACAAGAGCCTACTACATTCGATTATTCAGATCAAACCGGGAAGTGTGAGATTCTTGAGAGTATAAATGAAGAGAAGAAACCACATTTTTTCGATTTTCTTGGGTTGGGAACGGCGTGATCATCATCCTTAATATGAGTTCCCTACTCCTTTCGATGTACTTTTGTTGCGTTAGTTAATAATTAACCCATTTGTAGATTAATTGTTGTCCTTAGTCTCATGTTAATTAATTTTTAAACTCGTGTTGTTACGTACGTACCGTTCTTTAGGTTAATTAAATGCTTTAATTTGTGTACATGCCAAATTGTCTCACTTTCAAAAGCAAAGTTGATTTGAAGTATAAACATGTACCACTTTATAGTTCTAACTAACTCTTAACTTATATGAAAATGTCACATTCCATCATTAATGTGGAGTAAGAGTAACAACATGCTTCGTAGATGAAGGGGAAGGTGACATATGTTCAAGAAGGGACGATGATGTGGATATGAGAAGCGACAAGAAAATGAAATGTAACAGTGAATCGGAGATCGATAGAGAAGTCAAATTTAAGAGAATAATGTACTTTTGTATTTATTTGGAGTATGCAGAAAATAAATTTAACAATACCATGCGATATTGATGAGGTTGCAACTTGCAAGATTCAGGCTCAGATTCTGCAACAAAAAGTCCAAACATATATACTCTTTAATTATTCTCACACCCATTGCATTTTTTTTATTCCCTCCAAGCAAAAACATTTTCTCATTTCATTGCTTCTTTACTTGTGCGTTTCATCAACCTCATGTCACCCACATGCCCCCTTCTTCTCCCTTTTCTCCTTATTATTTAATATTATTCTTGTACTAATCATCTAGTTTATTTTATAAAACTATATACTATTAAGTTGTATACGTCATTGTACTCCCTAATGAGCTTAATACATTTGTATGATTCATATAGAAATTAACGATATATTTACAGAACTAAGATTATGTGATAACTTCTCCTTAGCGCAAAACCTAGGCTAGCTGATTTCCTCATGTGCAATAGAAATCTACCATTCTATTATGCATATATATTTGACTATTTGTTGAGATTTGAAGGTGTTTTTTTTGTCAAAAGATTACACGGTGCTATTATTTTATCAAAAAGCCTAGATTATGGCAGAGTGTATTCAAAATAGAATTTAGAGTGATTTGTATTAAAATCACAAACACTTTGTTATTGAAACATAAATTTTAAAAAGTTGTTTAAAATTCAGTGTTATTGAACTAATGATTTGAAAATGTAACTTCAAATTCACTGTTATTAGAAATAATTTAAATAGTGGATTTTAAGAAACTTGGAGTGACTTTAAAATGTTTTGATGGAATTTCTTAGTTAAAAATATAAAAATCAAAATCTCATGGTTTTAGGTAGAGTTTGATAAAATTTTGATATCAAATCATAATAATTTTCATAATTCAACCAAATCATCTTAAAACTCATTAAAACTCAAATCCTTCCAAATCATTTCAAATGTTAAGTTGAATACCCTATGTTTTATTCGTTTTAATTTAATTCGAAAACCGGTGACCTGGACCAATTCGAAAACCGGTGACCTAGACCAATTCGAAAACCGGTGACCTAGACCAATTCGAAAGCGGTGGTACAGTATCCAGTCGATCACCGGTTTTGAGCGAGTTTGACATCAGATTAAACCGGGTTTTAAAACATTGGCAAAAACCCTTAGTTCCTCCTGCTGCCTCAGAGCTCTCTCTCTCTCTCTGTTACCAAACTTCAGTGTCGAGTAGAGTGAGAAACAACCATGGCGGCTACATCGACTCTGGGGTTTGTTTTACCGTCGGGTTTATCTCCCCGTCGCGGTGGATTTAGGGTATCGGTCATCCGATGCTCCGCTTCCCCTCTCACTTCATCCACTGGCGCCGTCTCTGGTAACTTCCCCTTTCGCTTCTCTCAATTCCTCGTGAGTTTTCGTTTCGATTTGATGAAATTTCGGCACTCGTTTGCTGTTTATCGGACGGAATCTGTCTCCAATTTGGGTTCTTAAACCAATCATTTTTTTGTGTATTTTATTCCCTGGAGAGCTGGTTAAGTTTTTGAATAAAGGATAAACCTTTCGAATTTTCCAAACACTGAAGATAGATAGGTTTTCATTTCTTTAGATGCCCTTTTTGTATTTTTGGCGTGCTGAGCGAAATTGATGTGAAAGTTTGTGTTTTTTGTGTGTTTTGCCGTACGTTAGGTCTTGTGGAGAAACCTTGGAGTTCATACAATGCTAGGCTTGTGTTAGAAGACGGTTCCATTTGGCCGGCTAAGTCCTTTGGTGCTCCTGGAACCCGTGTTGCTGAATTGGTCTTTAACACCTCCTTGACCGGGTGAGATTTCTTGTTTGATAAACATCACATCAGCAATTTCTATTTCTATCATTTCCCGGAGTTTGATGATTGTGTGTTGTTCTTGATCGTCTCTTGGAAGGTATCAAGAAATTCTGACTGATCCTAGTTATGCTGGGCAATTTGTGCTAATGACAAACCCGCAAATTGGTAACACCGGTGTGAATCTCGGTAAGTGGAAAAAGTTCGAGTTTTGAAGTTACCGTAGTTTCTTATACCACTGTGAAAACTTAATGTTATGTTTCTCGTTACATTTGTTATAGATGATGAGGAATCTGAGAAGTGCTTTCTTGCTGGTTTGGTGATAAGAAGTCTAAGCATCAGGCAAGTGTTAAATTTCTGATGCCACCGTTGTTTCTTCCCTTATCTGTTGTTTCTTCCCTTATCTTTCATTTTGAAATTCGCAACCTTTGAAATCGCTAATGTTTCAGTACCTCAAACTGGAGATGCACCAAGACACTTGCTGACTATCTCACCGAAAGGAACATCATGGGAATTTGTAAGTTGTTCCCTTGTGTTTATGATGTTAATTAGATTTTCTACACGCTATTAAATTGGAGTTAAGAAACATCTCTGATTACCTATAAACTATTAACAGATGATCTTGACACTCGAGCAATAACCCGTCGATTAAGAGAAGAAGGCAGTCTTAATGGTGTGCTTAGCACAGAACAAACCAAAACAGATGACGAGCTTCTGCAAATGTCCCGTTCATGGGATATCGTAGGTGAGAGTTCTCGTACCTTTTTCCTGTTCTGTTTCTTGCATTATATAATATGACCTACTTGGGATACTGAACTCTTTTGGTCTACTTGGTTGAATCTTGTAGGACTTGATCTAATAAGTGACGTTTCCTGTAAATCTCCTTACGAGTGGCTCGACAAATCAGACCCTGAATGGGATTTCAACACAAATTCACGCGATGGGAAACCCTACAAAGTGAGTATTTACTTCACTAGTTCTTCTCTTATCCATGCTCTTCACCAGCTACTTACTCTCTCTCTGTCTTTCTACACTTTCTCTTGGACTCAAAAGGTTATCGCATACGATTTTGGCATCAAGCATAACATCCTAAGACGCCTATCCTCTTACGGATGTCAAATCACCGTTGTTCCGTCGTCATTCCCAGCTTCCGAGGCCCTTAAAATGAATCCAGACGGAATTTTGTTCAGCAACGGTCCAGGAGACCCTTCTGCTGTGCCGTATGCTGTTGAGACAGTCAAGGAGCTTCTCGGTAAAGTTCCTGTTTACGGAATCTGTATGGGTCATCAGTTGCTTGGCCAAGCTTTGGGTGGTAAGACCTACAAGATGAAGTTTGGTCATCATGGAGGAAACCACCCAGTTCGTAATAACAGAACTGGCCAGGTGGAGATCAGTGCTCAGGTATGTTCCCTTCAGAGTTTGGACTTTAGCATCATTCAAAGCTTGCAACTTTGACATGATTCAAAACTTTGAACTTTGGCATTCAAAGTTTGGAACTTTTAACTTGAATATCTAATAAACGATTGTTACTAGTTTGACCAAATCTGAATCCGGTGTGTCATTGTCCATTCTTGGCAGAACCACAACTATGCGGTTGACCCGGCTTCACTTCCCGGAGGCGTGGAAGTGACGCATGTCAATCTCAATGATGGAAGCTGTGCGGGTCTATCTTTCCCGGCGATGAATGTCATGTCTCTTCAGTACCACCCTGAAGCCTCCCCTGGACCTCACGACTCTGATAACGGTAATTGCCCTTTCTTTTTTCAGACAGTGAATCCGAACTTAATGGAAGGATACAGTTTGTATTGAAAAAAACGAGAAGAGTTGTACTAATGTGTGACTTTTGTTTGTTTGTTTGTGATTGCAGCATTTAGAGAGTTCATTGAGCTTATGAAGAGATCGAAACAGAGCTCCCGAGCAATGGTGGAGTAAAACAAACTCTTTTGTTTTGTACTATTTGCTGTTGTTTTAGCCATCGCACTTAAAATTAAACACGAGTGTTTTATTAGTAACAATGGAGTGATATTTATTGTTCTGGCTATGGCTATGTTAAGGAATTATCCCACCTTTTAAATAATCAAAGAATTTGTAATAGATAAGAAAAGAGTTTCTTTCTCTCAGAATCGAGTTGTATGTTTTGATCGATAATATTGTAAAGTCTTAATGTCATTTTGATAACCATGGTGAACTGAACTCTACCTTTCATCGCGGGAGAAGAAACATGAGACTGGGCTTTTGCTTTCACACGATGGGCGGGCTTTATTGCCACATGTCGCGGCTTAAATGGTGGTAGAAATTACCCTAACAGTATCCTATTTGAAAAATAAATACTTGTAGAAAATTTTGGATTAGAATAACCAAAATGAGTAGGATAAAAGAGTAGTGAAGATGCAAAAGAAAGGAAAAGGACATTGAAAAAGAAAGAATAACTATTTTTTCAGAAAAAGGAGACTTTATGCTCTTCTTTAAGCTTTTGTCAATGTTAGTGGTTGGATTCTTTTCTTTAATCGAAGATGAAAGTGAAAGATGCTCTTTTTCTTCCATTTGATTTAGTTTCATATTCCAATTTTCCTTATCTCTTATCTTAAATTAACTTGACCCAATTACACTTAAAACCAAATATTAACAAGCTTTATGACTTTATTATGTTCCTCTCATATGCACTTACCAGAGATGACGACAATGAGGATATATTTCTCTGTTAGAATCATGGGCAAAACCGTAATTGTATGTTCGTGTTCTGCGCCAACGTGGCAGATAGATCAGGGAGATATTATGAATCTTCAAGTTTATATATGTTGCAACTTCATCTTACTTACAATGGAGAGAAAATATCTGCAACTCTCAAAAATATTTCTATTTGTGTACAACAGTAATACTTTTACTCTATAATTGGAAACAACAAAATATCTAGACAGCTTTCCTTCTTTCGCAAGGTAACAATTAGCTAAATATCAAATCTCTCAGATCATAAATATATACGTGTATATTCTATATCAGTTTTTTTTATTATTGTTGCATGCTCTCCCTGAAGTTCATAGATCTAGACATCGCTGCAGGGTTTGCTTGTAGACTGAGAGACGTTTCAGGGACCAAGCTTCTTCTGTTGCCACCCTTTGTTTCAAATCCATTGAACAAACTGAAACCTTCTGTTTTTTTCTCGGGTTTTGTCATAGCACTCTTAGTAGCTTCGCTAATTCTTAGAGATTCTGAAACCAATCTTGCTCTTGTTGTAGTAGTAGTAGCATCATTGATTCCTCCTTCAGTTTGATCTCTTGATCGTTTCCCCAAACATGGTGAAGTCTCTGAGGTAGGCCATATAGGAACCGTGCAGCCCCAATAGAAAGGGATAGGGTAGAAACTAGCATTAGGACCCGTTGGACTCCATTGGTAAGGCCAAGGAGAAGCATTATTCGGAAAGATAACTTGCGGAGGAAGAAACCCCTGGTGGGTTTTGTGTTCTTGAGGAGAAGGTGAATCAGCGGTTATCTTTGCATCTCCTGTCTGATTCTTACCAGTCTCGGTGACCGAAGATTCTGAAGAACCGAAACTGAGGATCGTTCCCGAGTTATTGTTGTTGTTGTTGTTGCTGCTGTCTTCAAAATCCTCAGAAGTGACCTGCAAGTAATGGTTCGAAGAAGCCCATCCTTTGTTCTTGCGGCGACCTGAGCCTACGGGGACGTTCCTCATGGATCCGCCAGATGTCCAGTATCTCTGACAGTTCCTGCAGAAGTAACGTGGCTGGTTCACGTTGTAGTTGTTGTAGTAACAGAACTTTGTGTTTGCGCTCTCGCATCTCGGACACGGAAGAATCTTGTCCGGTTTCTTGAGAGTCGTTGGTTTATCTTCTGATGTAGTTGTTGTGACCTCGCTCTGTTGGTCGCCGTTGGTATTGGAGCTTCTTGGTGATGAAATCTCTGATGCTGCTTTCGGCGGTTCGTTAAGATCGGATAATATGTAAGGATCTTTGAATCTGCTATTGTCTTGCTCGCTTTTCTTAGCAAGAACCTGAAATTTTGTAGAATTTTGATTAGAATTTAGCAAGAAGCCTTTGTCTTTACGGATATATAAAGTCAAATCTGCTACTCTTAAATCTGTCCAATCTTTTTTTATAACCAAAATTTTTAATCACGGTCCCAGTAGGAAACTCAAATCCAGAAAAAAAAAGTTGGATGAACAAATCCAGGATAATCATAACTCGTGTGCATGATAAATACTGTAGAGAACAGACGACAGGACCATAAAGTTTCTAATTTTACGGCGACGGATAAAAAAAAAAAAACAGAAACGAATTTTAAGATCGAGATCGACCCATGACTAGATTCCATCACCTCAGAAATGGGTTTCGCTTAGAATCTCAAATTAACCGATGAAATTGACGAATCTCAAAATTTAAGTTGGTTTGAAAAATGAATTAATACAAAACAGAAGAGAGAAAAGATGGATTTAGATTCGCGTGACATACCTTGTCTGGTCCAGTCGTAGGAGAACAAGAAGAAGAGGAAGACGAAGAAGAAGCATCCTTGCTCTGATCGGAATCACCGTGAACAGAGGACAAAGACGACGGATCATAACGATTCACAGCGAAAGGAGATGTAATTGTCCTCCCAAACAACTTTATCTCTGTATCTCTAGATTTAGACATACTAAGGTCTGAAAAATCCTTTTCTCTGTTCCTTTTTTTTTTCTTTTATTTGAAGATCAGAGAAAAAAAGACCATGAAGAGAATAGAAGGGGCTGAGGTTGGTATTAATGACGATAGTGCATAGAGAGAGAGAGAGAGAAAAAAAAAAGTGGGGAAGATGACACGTAAGCAGAGAGAGAGAGACTTGTGAAAATTTGAGAGCCACATGTTGTGTAAGAAAGTGGGCATTTTTGAGATCTTTTTCACGCTCTTTTTGATTCCCCGTTCTAGTGCCGCTAAAAGATTTTCTTCATCTTCCTTTGTTGCCACGTCGGATTTCCTTTTTTTTTTTAATTAGAAGAATAGAAAACACTTGGTTCGTAGTGGCTCTGATAACAAAAAGGCATTTTCAGAATAATTATATTTCTAGAGCTTATTCAAAAATCGTCTCCGGAGTTTTTAAGTAACGTAAACGCATTGAAAAAGAAAAACCATAGCAAATGATAAAGTCAAGATGTACGTACATCGGTACATGAAAAGTCATACTAATAAACAAAAACATTTGCAGCAAAGATTTTGAAACTTATTATGATCCGTATTGACCGGTGATTGTTAACTTAAGTTCATATTAGTAATCGAACTTAATTCCACTTCGATGGTACAAAACCATTATTGACGTATGTATAAGTCATCGTTAATTATTAGCAAATTTATTCGACTACATACATCGTCAAAAAATCATTGAACTTTTGGCACTTTTTCTTTAAAGTACTAATAAATAAATAAAATAGACACAATTAATCACTACTAAAAATAAATTCTTAAGACAACCTTGTAAACCAAATACTATTTTTTATATAATTCTTTCTCACTCCGACTGTGAATCAAAAATGGCGGACGAAATCGCCAAGTAGGTGTTTTCTTCCACAACATATAATGCTATATTTTCTTCTAGCTAGTTTACAGGATTAGCTCTGGACCTCTGGGTTTTTATAATGGTATAGACAAACCATCAAATTTTACCAATTAGAAATAAAATCCATTAGAGAAAAAGTTATTTTAAAACTATATTTGATAGATCCTTTTAGATGATCAGAATTGCTATAAAAAACTAGCAACAAAATATATAATTAAACTATAGATAATAGTGTGTTTATTAATACTCTCTCTGTTTCAAAATAAGTATCATTTTGACACTTTTAACACAAATTAAGAAAATGATTAAAAGTTCTATTTTACCATTTATTCACACACAAAATAACATTCTCTTTCTAATTAAAACAGTAAAATTTAAAGGTTAAAACTGAATATTTATTTAAAATTATGCATTAAAAATGTAAAATGATACTTTTTATGAAACAAAAATAAAACTTTATAATGACACTTATTTTAAAACGGAAAGAGTATATAATTTTAAAATAATAATATAAATAATCTGTTATTTAATAATGGAACTAATTTATTCATAGTTAATAATAATAATAATTACTTATTATCCATTGGTTTTACAAATAGAATTCTATCCACTACATATAAAATTGAAAAGTACTTAATTTTTTAAAACGAATCTATCTTCACACTACTTTTTCAAAAAATTGATTTTCTGATAATTAACGTAATATATACATGATTGTAATGCTTTTAGTATAAATGTATCCCTATAGATGTAATCCGACAAGGCATAACCTGTCAATGCCAGGTTGTATAACCACGTGTCATAGGACCCACCTCGTCTCCGAAACATCCTACACTCTCTGCCCACGTCAGCTGTAATAAAAGCACGTGCGGATTGGTCCATCTGGTTTTTAAAAAGGTTCGTCTGCCAGAAACTAGCTGTTAGTCACGCATGTGACCAATGAGTATCCGACGCGTGTCAGTATAAGAGGAACATATTTGATGTGTAGGGTAAGTAGTAGCGTATCCAGCATCGTTATGCTCTTTATTAATAAAATAAAGTAAAGTAAATTAAGAAAAAGAAATCGATAAAAAGTTGTGGTAGTCAGGGAAACTATGTTCTGGTAGTGTCTGACACGTGGCATTTCCAGGTGTGAGATAAGGCTGGACCATATCTTTTTCTCTTATCCCATTAACTCTTCTCGATCGTTTTTGTTTTTTTTTTGTAAATTATATTTCGTATTTTGCAAATATATCCCTTCTTAATTTCCACTATGCCGATAGTTGCATGCTACTTTTCATACAGTAACGACGAAAAGTAAGATAATATATGTTCGATGAGTAAGATTTTGCCATTATGAAAACGGATAACATTATTTTCTAATTCTGAGGTCGAATGTTTATATTACTGTGTATACGACTGTACTAAAGCTTGAAAAAGAAAAGATACACTTTAAAAACTATAATGCTTTGTGACTATGAAAAACCTTGTGGAGATATAATTCATTTATAGTTTTTTTTATTCCCTCTGTTGTTTGATTGAAGCAGTAAAATAACAAGGTTTTTTTTTTTGTGCAACCTGGGAAACCTATAACAAGGTTAATTTCATATACCATTTTCCCTGGAAATTTTGAGCAGATGTTTTTAAGAATATGATCGGATTTATAAGAAAATGTGATGTTTTATGCATGCACACAGAGCCGCAACTTACATCTTTGGGGGGTATCATCCTATGTAGTTTATAAATTATATAGTGTAATCGGATTCTTGTAGAAAAATTAAAAATATGTTCATATAGTTTTGAAACTTCTCTTAGTTTATGGAGTCCAAATTTCAAAACCATGTTAATGCCTTAATGAGATAAACTAGGGCAAAATCTACTGGGATGGATTGAAATCATTGGCCCGTATAAGCGAAAGAAGTCAGAACTACAACGGGCCTCAATCTGGTACTTTTGTTCTGTACATTCTACGCACAGGTAAGGCCCATTAAAGCCTGAAGGGCGTACAGCTAAAACAACAGCTTCTAGAGAGGAGTCCTCTCATCGTCTCAGGTGGAGAAAGAATTAATTCCAATCAGACTAATCAAATCCTTAAGGAGTGGTCATCTATAGTCGAGTCTATAGATTATTGCAGACTGGCATTAGTCATGCACATATGAAATAATGTAAGAGTTATCTAAAATGATCTTAGAAGATCTATCTCTAAAATAATGTATTCAAATTTTTGATATTATTTGTTTTGAAGTGATTTTTTTTATATTATTCAATCATGAATTTTTAAAATGTAGTGGTATAGGTTAGAATATCTGTTAATGTCTTTTAATTTACATGGTAACTAGGTATTTACCTGCGCTATGCTGCGAGATGTTATTCTAAATTTTATATATTTTTAAAATAAAAAATTATTTTTTACAGTATAAATAAATACTATATTTATTTTTTATTTAGCATAAGTTTTGGATTTAGATAAATTTATGAGAATTATCTGAATGAACCAAATTGGACAATATTGATGGAGATGTTTCAGTTCAAAATGACAGATGACTAAAATACTCTTAAATTTAAAAATAATAAAAAAACCTAAAATCATATTTTTTGAAAAAACTACAAATTATGGTTTTCTAACGAAACCTGGAATTTTTTTTTTTCTAAACTGGTAAAATCATATTTTTTGGTAAAATCGAGAAATCGTATTTTTCAACCAAAACTAAAAAAACACATTTTACTATTATAAGTTTACTTATGATCATAAATTTCTCTACTCGCGGGTTATATTCATATTTTTAATTATAAAACTTTTAATGCATGTTTTTCTAACACTAACTAAAATAATTATTTTAACATTAATATTTCTTTAGCATTAAAAAAATATTTAGTAAAAAACCACAAATGAAACAACAATTCACATTAGCTTACATATTTATTATAGCTTAAGTTTATATATTGACTAGATCGCTACTTTGAGCTCTAGAAATTAAAAAGCTACAAAATATATCGAAAAAAACCAAATAACCATGTCAAATGTTTGAAGCTCGTATTTAATTGACCTCAGATCTTATAACTTTATTTTTTTCAGTTCTTCTTCTCTCACATATGCTAGAAACAAGTCTAGCAACTACGAAAATGGCTTCACAATGTCGCCATTCCTCCTATTCTCCAAATCATATCAGCGTTTTTTTCATCTATTGAATCATAGTCACTGGTCGAGATTTAGGTGGTTGACAACTTTTTCGATCAGATCTCTGATACCTTTAAACATAATATATTTGCTTTCAAAAACTTAATACACTTTCAAATATTTATTCATAAGTATACAATAACTTGATTAAAAAATACTCACTCTTTTGATAATTAATTAAAATTTGGTGCACTCTCCCTTTGTCAAAGTATAAAAAATTATTCAATTTCAATATATAGAAAACATAATTTTATAGATTTTTTACTTTTTCTCATATCTTTGCTTTAAACATGTAAATCTCAAACCTTAACATTAACATTATCATACATAAACATTAGTCACACTTATATGTATATCTCAAACCTTTAAAATTCACACTATATTTAGATATAGTTTTATTAATAAGTCATAGGACAGATATGATACAGGAGTAACACCCAAATACAAAGACCCAAAACATTAAAGTATTAAACGCAAGCCTAAATAAAACTTAAACTACATTTGATGTTACTGTAATTGGATATCTCATCCGTCTTTAGCATCAGAGACAAAGCTTTACCACTTTAAAGTTTCAACTTTCAGAAAATTCATCATCACAATGCGATTGTAGATCTTTTACAAACTCTTTCGAGAACCACCATATCTCCTGAATAGATCCATGGTTAAAAAATCCTTCTTCCCCACAAAGTTTAAATAGTGAGTTTGATGAGATAACAATATTAATTGATTCATTAGAATTTTAGGTTTGTTTGCCAATAAACGTTATCAATTAGTTATGTTAATTAGATAATTTCTAGAATAATTGAAGAAGATGGACGAAGAATATGTTGATAGGGAAAAGGAGAAAGAAGATGTCGATAATATACAATGAGCTTCAGTTTGGTCTTTTTAAAAAATTAAAAATTATAAAACAACATATAGTACATTATTAAAAATGTCGTGTTTTAA